AACTTTGAGACAAACAGCGTGATGCAAAAGATATGAATATTTGCTATATATACCATTAACGATGAGCTTGAACTTTTCTTGGTTGATGGTTTTGAAGTCCTGTAAGCGAACCTTATGGGAAAGCTCCATCTCCCATGACTTGATAGCATTCTGTACCGTTTCTTCAAGCGACCCTTCTGGCCATTCCTGCCAAGAAACCATAAATACCTATAACATGAGACTTACAAATTATAGGTTTCGTATCCAAAACTGAGGCAATTATAAAACACAAAAAATATCCTTTACTGTATAACCCAAAATCAATTATACCAGAACAAACGAACCTGGCCTATAGGGCCAAGTGGCCTCCGCCATTCTTGTAAGGTTCACCTCCCCCTCGGCAAGAATCACCTCCCCCTCGCCAAGGGCCACGGTTCTACCTGGCCCCGTGATAAAAATGTTCAAAGAAAAAAAAAAATTGTACCAAAACAAACAGAAACAAAGTTCAGAGTTTAAGCACCTTGGTTCGGCCTTCTTCGAAGAGACGGTTCACGTCATCGTACCTCGGAGGACCACCGTGTCGCCATTGAACCTTTTCTGGTTCCTCCTGCAAGATAGGCCTGTACTTGTCACATGGTGTTGAAGCCATTTTGATATTAGGTTTGCTTATGGCAACGAGTCCTGCAGCTATTGGACTACTTTTCTAGGTGCAGATGAACAGCTCAATAATGTACGTAGTTGATTTAGTTAAATTGAAAATGAGGGACTTTTTTATTATGCATGATTATCTTTATCTTTGATTTTTCATTTTTTTTTCTGGTTCAAGTATTCCTACCTTTCATTAGGTCAAGGGAATGACAATGACCCATTTTCCCACTCATCTGGAGATAATTTTTGTCAATAAAAAAGAGAAATTCATTTTTGTCCACAAAAAATGAAAATTAGTATGTTAGAGCAGGTGGTCGGATAAATAATGGGATAGCTTCCATTAAATATCTAACAGCTAACTCTTATCTTTTATTTTGCTTATTTATTAGAATTTGAAATAGGAGCAGAGGGAACTGGCCGGAGCTATCTTTTCTTTTCTTTTCTTTTCTGCCTGTCGTCGAGATATTTTATTAGGCCGTCCTTCTCTACCCAAGTCAATGTCAACAGAAAAATCTTCTGTTGCTCTACCAAGACCTACAAAATATTGGGAAGAAAATATTAGCCAAAATAACGGAAAGTTAATAGATGCTTGGTCAATGAGGCCAAACTAATGAGGCTACATACTAGGAAAATTACTTGAGTAAACAGCACTTATTACTGCACATGTTAGTCAAATCAGGAGGCAACATTTCAAGCAGAAGAATGGCTGAACTTAAGACAATACCAGCCAACTCTAAACGCCTAGTAACATTTGAATACCTCAGGTTTTTTGATATAATGCTTTGAATGGCAGCCATACAATATGGCAAATGCTCCATGAGATGCAATGGCCCTTTGCATGTAAGAACAGGCAAACTGCTCCAGCGGTATAATTGCCCTTTTAGTGTCCTCATGCTGATACCTTGCAACTGCAGATATAAGACGAGAAATTTAACTGCCATATGAAAAGACGATATATGTATATTTAGTTCCAGCATATTTTGTACCCCACAATTAAGACACTATAATTGAAAAAAATGAAAAAGAGAGAGGTACAGAAGCAGAAAGGACATAGAACTACACTGTGATTGCATCTCTATAAGTTAAATTTACATTACCAACTGCAGATGGTTATCAAATTGCTAGAGCAGGACCTCTGGCAATAGGAGCGAGTGAAAGATGAAAATCTAATGAATACAAGGTAGACTTATTACCTTCCTGATCATATAAATTGTGGTCTTCTGGATCCAAATCCATATTGCGCACCTGAGTATTAGAGAGATAAAAAAGAATGACTAGAAGAGCCAGGAAACCATGACAACCATATGGATAAGAGTTGAGATTTACCATTGCCTCAATCTCTGAAAAATAAGGTACATCATCATCATCACTTTGAAGGGGTAACTCTTCTAAATCTGTTGAAGGTTTGACCTTTTATCTTGTCTGTTCTTGCTTTGCCTTATTTCGTGAATTCATAAACTACTTATTAATTATGACTAATCATATTCTCAGCGACTATCAGTTGGAATTTCTATTTCTGGATTTGCCTTTAAGGATGAGAATTTTGTAAGACCTTGGGAAGACTATGAAGATAACTTGGAAAGGTAAAAAATAAATAAATATTAATCACCTTTGTTCAGGAAAAGAATCCTCAAGTCCATTTATAATCACAACTCTTTCAAATTATAGGCATGCTGGAACAGTTTTGCCACTGTGTTTAACTTTTCCACTCCTTTTAAGAGTCAGCCTTATATTCTGTGTAACTTAAATTGTAAAAGGAACTCCAGATTAGACATTGCCTAACTGATTCTTGTTCTGCCCTTGATAAATCTTTCTCTTTCCTGTTAAATATTTCCATTAATGGTTTCAATATTTAGGTATGTGCTAAAGTGGGAGTCTGAAATTTTGTTTGCATTGAGCACAGCAATACAAGACTATCTTACGTCAAGTACTATTTGGACCTTAAAAATCATTGGTGTTTCATAATTACTGATTATTACTGCCAGAATTCTGGGTTAAATAATTAGTTGCCCTTTGCAGGAGTTGCTATGGAGTTAATGAAAGATAGTGCGATGCTGACTGTATTAAGCACACTTCTAACAGTAACTTGCAAAGAAGAGGGATTATTAATACTTTGGGTGAGGAAAATTGTGGTTTGTGCGAGGGAGAGATTGAGGACGTCCAGCACCTTTTTTTGAAGTGTAGGATAGCTAAATGGCTGTGGAAGGCTGGTGGGGAATTACAGTCACTTTAGAATCAGATTGCTGGACATCCTTTGAACAATTTGGGGGCTGGGCTAAGGAGTCACATGTAAAGGAAGGCTGGGACTGTGTCTGGAATATAGTGGTGTGGTCCATATGGCTCACGAGAAACCAAAAGGTATTTTGAGATCTCCACGTGAACAAAAGTAAGTTGCTCGACCACATTCAACTGAAATCTTTTTTGTGGATCAAAACAAAGAAACCCAGATGCTTGTTTAATTTTTCTGATTGGGTAATCAATCCTATAGCATGTCTTATTGATAACTGCGACAGGAAGTAGGAAATAGAACTTGTGCTATGATTGGTAGATAATCCTCACTGTTCTGAGGATATTGATGGAATTATTCTCACTGTAATTACATAGGAAGCATTGAGCAACTAATTGACTCTACTTGGAATAAAGTTAGAGTCAGTAGATGCTCAATATTATCCTTGTTTTTGTATTATGGGCAGGAGTACCCCTTGTACTCTATATAATCAAATACCTTTTGCTG